GTTCAAGTTCTACCACCTCGTTTGCTGCTGCTGCCGCTAGTCTCACCACCATTGGGCTTTCAGTGCGGGAGCCGGAGATTGCCTACTGGCATTAGAAGCCAATCTCAAAGCGGAAATTAAGGTGTAAATGGAATTGCCAGGCCCTAACACGGCGAACAGGTTTTTCCCTGACGTTGTGAGCAGGAAGCGTGCACTGGCTCCCTTGACGGCATGATGGGGCTGATGATAATGTTGATGATTGAATCGCCAGGCGGCATGACGAATCTAGTGAATAACGCACAATTCATGAGGGCTCTTAAACAAATTGTTGACTATTGTTTATTGTGCTAAAGAATATTTCTACATTTTCCCCGTGGAACGCTGCTTTTAATGCATGGATGATGCCACTGTAACTTGATTAGAAAAACCCGACACAGCGACCAGAGAACTGGTAAGCACGCCCGTCGGATGATCGAGTTTTTAAAATTTCGCTTTGGTTTTTTATGGTAGATCTGTAAACCCAGTTATCGAGGCTTCTTATGAAACTGTAATTCGGTCAATGGAGCAGAAAAGTACTTCCGTTTCTCGTTTAAATTAAGGGGAGAGAGAAACTATAATAAAAAACATCATCTAAAGAACGTTTCGTTTTTTCACTCAACCTGTACCATTAGTTGTACAGAAAGTTAATTTAACGGACAAGGCTTTAACCTGCTCTGTTTGCTAAGGATTTATTACATGCTCCCCATAAATAGGACATGAGCACAGGAACTGCCCACGGTAAGGGCGGCTTGGCACTAATTTTCAGATGAATTAGGGGTGGTTTAAAGTTTACTGCTAAGATAAGGAATGGAATTAAGGCAGAGCTGAAGATTAGGATGAGTGTTATTCGTTAATTGTAATGTTTAGGGTGCAGTTAAGCTTAAGATTGGGAATACAGTTAAGATTTAGGCCACTGTTGGGAGTATGACACAGGACTACTGAGTTATCCTGGAATTATGCATATGACCAGTTTGATAACTTTGTTGGGACGTTCGTATTCGCGCATCCTGTTTAGGGCGTGATATAAGTTATCTTTACCCTCCTTTTTCATAAAATGAAGGGATTTTTATGTTGGTCGGTTGATTTACTGTTTAGACTAAACAAAGACTGTTCAGCGAACGTTAACGCCCGTTCTACCTTTCTTGAAGCTGAACTACGTAAACAGTGACTTTTCCGATAATCTAGTTAAAAAATGGGGAATCTTCTTTTTAAGCGAAGGCATTTAGGTTTATGTCTAGTAAACATGTTGCGTGGTTTATGTGGACGCAGTACAAGCTGAAAGGTGAGTCGCTGTTTAGTCTTTTAACGCTTCTCTCACCTCTTATAAATGAGCATCATCCCTTCCTCCGTATTAAAAAAAATTGTTGCTTATAATAAGGCTAGCGCTTTTGCACTCCTGTTTATTGAATCCTGGATTCTGTGTGGTGTACCTAGGCACGAATTCAGTCTCGTCAAAGCTGTTTTCGGTCGACACAGTCGTTCCGCCGCTGAAGTTCGGTGGGTTTGAGAATAAAGGAAAAGTTATTCCATGGAGAAACAAAGAGCATAGTTTCAGGACCGGATGGAATCACATGCACAGCAGACCACAATTAGGCCAAATATGTGTATAATCTAAGTGATTGAATGTCCTTGATTACAAGCAGCAAGAGGCTATCATACAGGCCAAAACTGTAGCTCTCCTCTTTTTATTAAATATTCATAAGGTCTGTATTTTTACTTTCAGTTGGCCCAGGTCAAATTGATTTCATGACTGACTGGTTCGAAGAGCACAGTAGATTTGCTAGCTTACCAAATGCCAACCACAATTTGAAAGTGTTTTCGATTCAAACAAATGGTTTTAGTTGAGGTAGTGATATTGAATACCGCACAGCATTATACCAAGATATTTCAGTCAAATTCTGATATATATTTTATAGAAAGCATACACGAAAAAATGCTTTCTCGTACTCATTTCAGGCAAAACTGTGCCCTGAAGTTTTATATATGAAGGGAAGGAATATTACGGTTCAATAAATGTTTCTGAGTATGAGATTATTTGTGATCGTAAAATACTCATTCATGAAGTATAGTCGCTGTCCTCTGATTAATCGTTTTTACAGACTATACAACCTGGTCCACGTCTATCGCAAACTGTTATGAAATTTGCGTGTTTTCTTCCTCATAACTTAGAGAACTGTACGATTTCTCCCAGCCAAAATGCATACAGCATGCCGTTTTTGAACCCTCAATACAAGGGCAACGGTCAGTCGGGTTCAACATTACTCGGCAGTTGAATCAACCTTTGAGACTGAAAGTTATATTTGTTCGATGGGAAAATCTAAAAGCGACTGAATATTTTAATGTATTTTTTTCTATAATATATATTTAAATTTTACGAGGTACTACAAGGCAATGAGACTAATTACTCTAAGATTAGTAGTTATTTTTACAAAGTGAAATTTAGAGAAAAAGAGAATGCGATCGCTAGGACAGCAATCGCAGCTTCCTACTTTCACTTACTTCCTGGGACTCACATATTCGCTTATATTGGCAGACTGTAATTTTTGGGCATCCCGACGTGAGTGAAACATCTTGAAAGTAGTCTGCACAGTAACAAATATGGCAATACCACTTAACTGATCTCTTCTAAACGAACACAAATTTCAGTATTTTGGTTACCTCTTAGTGAGATAGTAGGTCTTCTGTAAGCCAGAAACCTTACTGTCAGCCAGTCGGCAACAGTTCGATTATTAATTTTTGCTGCCCTGCCACTGAAACCATGTGCTGTAGCCCTAGTCTCCAAACCCAGGCACAACTTCCATTTTCAGCGCTGCAAACGGTAATCATCGACGGAATACCGACAATTAATATTTTAAAAATTCGGACCAGCCTTACGATGACCATTCCTAAATAAGATAACTTTGACAAAGATTAGTTGTTGTGTGGCATTATATACATAAATAAAATAGGTATTCGGGAGACCGTTCTAGAACTGCTTGCATAATAAAAGCCTGGAGCCAAACAAATGGCTGCTGACCTTCAGATTAGCTTTCCCGAAAAAATGACGATCGTAGTTCTTTCGAAGTTTAATTATGTCACAGGTACTGCTTTCCGATAATTTGTTACATCAAAATGAACCGTCAGGAGCTCAGCTTAATTTTGTTATCCTTCTAACTCGCCGTATTACTTGGTGACATTCATGAAGATTGGCGTCACGCCGGGCTAAATAACCTCCTGCTCACCTACGCTTTCCTCTTCTGTCCACAGACACTACTCCACGTGCTAAGCAAGTCCGCATGTGTTATGCTGCACCCGACAACAGTTTCTACGACTGGCCCCAGACAAAGCTAGATGGCGGCAAGCAAACTCCCGTGGCGGTAGTGTCCTCGGCCGGAGTTCCCGTTTCCCAGTCCGCTTCCTCCACCATCACCAACACCACCCTTCTCAGCCCGAGTCAACAGGAAACCTACCATTACGGTCGCCTGCACTTGCCCGAGGGCCAGCTGCCAGCGCAGATTGTCCTCAACGGCCTGGAACTCTATCAGCCCTTATTGCCGGGAAAAAACCAGTCAGGCTCGCTGTACCACCCTGGTGGGCTGACTGTCCGAACAGATGTTCCGGTGCAGCTCATCC